GGCTTTACAAAGCTAACGTATGCTGTTAGTGTATCGCCAACTCAAATAAGCTCAACTTTTCCGAGATATCGCAGACATATTTACGTCTTGAGAAGCAGGTGTTTGGAGATGAAAGTTCGTAAAAACTATAACTAAAGAAATATTCTAACACAGGTTTCTACAGTTCCTTCCCCTTATTTAAGGGAATTCATTATCTGAAAATTTGCCAACAGTAATGATTAGTGCCATTTAAAACACAAGAAAAGAATGAACTGAGAATACACCTTAGATAACCCAGTTAAGCCATCCCTGACTTTAGGTATAATTATAATGTGTGTGGGAGCTTGCGGAGAAATGTCCCTAAAAGCTAAGACCTGTCAAAGGCATGAAAATGTACAAGAAATGCGTTAGAATACTATAATAATTTTTTGTCAGACAACGTTTATCAACAATTAAAATCCACCGGAAAGAGAGAGAGACAGAAAAAGGAACTGGTAGGAAGATATCGCGAAAGTACCTTATCATCCTCATAAACCACAGTAGATGGTATTTCTTTGTTGATGATTTTGTCAAATCTGCATTTCAAATAGAAAGATGACGAGGTTCAGAGCAAATTAATGGAATTTACGCACATTTTTTGTTGTGCTGACGTCGACCTAGATGACAACTTCCACAAACCTCCCAAAAGAACCCAAACAAAATTAACCATTTTCCAAACTTAAGACAACTTCTTGTTTCAAGCTCAATTAGGTTCTCACAACCTGTCCTCCCGTGTAACTTAACCGGAAAATTGATGCATAAAAGAAAAATTATCAAAAGATGCAGAGTGCACATGAAAAAAATGAGTCCTCGTGATGAAATCGAGCTTTTTCAAAAAAGATCCGTCATGAAAAAATGAAATTTGACCCATCATGGACAGACTCCAATGAGATCATAAAGAGGGAGAAACCATGAACTAATAATGATGAGAGAGAGAAAAGGAGAATGTCGGATGCTTACATGGTTGGGGAATCGGAAGGAGGAGGAGTAGCGGCAAGAGCAGCTTCTTTCTCAGAAGCCATGGCGGCGGAGAAATGGGAAGAAAGTACAGCAAGTCGAATGCTGCCAGCGCAAATTGCAGGCGTCAATGTATTGTTATTATTATTTCTGTTATGGTTATTATTGGAAAAAACCCTACTTATTATTGTGTTCATTTTTTCTGTGTTTTTAGCTGGTGATATTCTTCGTCCTCCATTTTACTCCAAACAGAACCCACCACGTCGCTCTCACTTTTGTTTTAATAATTTCATTTTATTTTCATATTTTTCTACAAAAACGCTAATTTATTTTTTTGAAACATAAGAGACCCCAACAAAGTCCGCTCTTATAATCGAGTTATGTAAGAGGGTGTTGTATGTGATAGGATCCCGAAGATCAGGATAAGGTCTAATTCATCAAGTAATATTTTCACTGTAAAACATGTATTTCATAAATCAAACGCTAATAGTCATAATTAAGTTAGAATTAACATTGATATAAATTAATTTTTTATTGAGAGGTTTATTCAGGATTTTAACAGTAAAAACATTATCTATCTCCAAAATAACATGATACGAGTTCAGGTTCTAATCTATAGATATGTTGACATTCTAATTTTTCATAAGTCAAACGTTAATAGTCAAAATTATGTTAGAATTAATATTGATACATGAATTAGTTTTTTGTTGAGAGCTTGATGACATTCTAATTTTTCGTAAGCCAAACAAGCTACGGATCGTTGCTATCCATTCCAATCACACTAACATTGATATATGAATTAATTTTTTGTTGAAAGTTCTATTCATGATTTGGATAGTAAAAGCAAGACAAATTCAAGTTACAAACTAACTCAAAATTGTCCAAAACACTCCACATCTCCGTCTGAAGGACAGAGCAAAGGTGTCAATGTTTTTGAAGTGACCTCCACAAGCTACAGATCGTTGCTATCTCTTCCAATCACACTAACACAAGTCGTATCAGTGTTCTCACGAAGAGTCTCGTCCGTGTTGATCTTGATCCAACTGAGGCAACAGTATCCAATTGATGAGCCTCTTCTTTCCGAGCGTGATGGTCAGACGATAATATTTTTAATTGACTTTAATTGATCTTGCTTTTTATTTTGTGATACTTGCTCCCCCGTGTATTTTTTTTTAATCTTAACCAACTTTTACGATGTAATATTTTTTTCCACTTGAATTTATAAGAAATGAATTTCACTATTTTACTTACTATTTTCGTCCCAAATTATATATATTTTTTATGGAATTCCTTTTATATCTTTTTGAGAATTTTTATATTTTAAAACATCTTTAAAAATGATAAGGCAAATTAGAAAAAGAAAAATGCACAAAAGAATTCAAACTCCAAACTCAAACGCATTGCAAGTCATGTTTCACTTTACAAAACCGAAGGAAAAAAATCATCTTTTTTCCACAATCGCAAATCAATCTCTCCTTTCCTTCTTCTTTCTTTCTTCCTTTCTATCACCACCAAGAAAAGCCAAGAGGGCTTTTAAGTAGACTTCTGCTCAGGCAAGAGACTCTTAGCTGGGGTAAGTAAAGCCACACGGCCTCTTTGAGAATTAGAGTACTTCCTGTGAACTGCTTGAAGCTTACTTTCTCCAGCCTTTGAGTGCAGATACACCAGCAATTTAGCACATTCCCTGTCAATAACCAAAAGAGAATTTCCCATCTCCTCATCTTCTCCACAACAGAAAAAAAATCAATGGATAGATTTGATTTCAACAACTTACTTCAGCTCGGACTCTGAGTAAGTGGTGTGGAGCTTTAGGGTCTCCGTCCAAGCAGGGATCTGGTTCAGAGTACATCTAGCTGCATACACGGCTGATGCAGCTACCACTGATGGAGAGTACTTTATGGTCTCATAATGCATAATGCCCAGTTCAGCAAGAAAATTGACCATGTTTTCCATCTATACATCAGTCAAAATTTTATAACTACAACCTACTTATATAAGATATAATCCGAGGAAGAAGACTGGTTTAGCCACTTACTTCTTTATCTGGAATTGATGCTTTGATGAACCGGACAAGGAAAACATAGTGTGTTGGCACTGTCAAGTACCATTCCAACTTCCCAAGAATTGTTTTCTCCATCACCAATATCTGTTGGTGACTGTAAGCATTGTCTGCAATGCAGACCAGGTCATTCACCTGTAAAATTCAGTCCATCTACATTTAGCCATACATATGCAAGGAACCTTCATATACAAGTATAAGAAGAAAGTATATGAACCTCAGGTGGCCAGATTTCTTCATATTTGGAAGCAATTAGCATGGCACCTAAGCCAACCAATTGCAATTCTCTCCTGGGCACGATCTTTGCAGAAAGGAACCTATCAATTATATTGATAGTGAGATACAGAGTTTCATTAGAGAGTTCAAACTTGTGATGGACTTCTATCAACCAGTCCACAAGGATGGCTCTCATCTTCTCGTTGATCTCACATTGATTTTGCATGTAGTTATGTGGCCTGCTCTCGTTCTGCATCACAACCCACAAGTTAGAATCATGGTTATTGACCTCAAACAACCTTTCCTCAAAAATTAAAGGGGAAAAAAATTGTACTACCTCATCGGACTTGTAGAATTTGTATATTTCCTCAACATATTCAACCCCAGCCAGATGATCATCAGCATCTGCTGCATCAATGTCGACAATCTGATCCTTTGGTCTGCTGGCCAAACCACAAGCAGCCTGCAAGATCAATAACCAGATTAGCCATTCAAACGTATTAAGATTAACCTGAAAGAATAATACGAGGCAAGATGTTGAATGTCACCTTGCTTCTAGCAGTTAGGACTGAAGAGTAAGAAATCTTGGATGATACATCTGCATCCTTATTCTTGTTGACTGGAGCTTTTACATGCTTTTCAGCATTCACCTTTTCCTCTGTATCTGGGCTTATCTCTATCACTTCTTCAGGCTTTGGCTTAACAGTGACCTTCTTCTGACCTGCTTTTGGTACCACAGCTCTTTTCTCCACTGCCACTGCAGCTCCAGCAACAGCAACTGGGGCCTTCTCCACTTTAGCACAAATTTGTTTCTGCATTTCAAAGCAAACACATATAACAAACTTAATCGCGGTTTGAAACAAACAAATTTCAGATACAGAATCTGTCCTCAAGGCCCTAAAGCTTTTAGCGAATCTCAAGAACCTAATTCTCCTAAAAAAAAATCAGAAATTGGAAATGCAAACAACCAAACAAAAAGTATATAATTAAAGAACCTTGTTATTCTCAACCGCTGCAGCCGCTTGAGCATTGGCTAATAATTGTGCACAGAAACTCCTAAATAGCAAGACAAGAATCAGCAAAAAGGAAGAAACTTCAAATGGGCAGATGTAAAAATTTCGAGAGAGAAAAATTTACCTAGTTATAGGGCGAGAAACTTGAGGAAGAGGCTTGCCCTCAATGCCTCTAACAGTCACAAGATTACCAATATCGCCGAGAGCACGTCGGTTTCTTCCGTCTGCGGCAGCTTTCTTCTGCTGCTTTCCTGCTCCTCCTAAATCTGCCTCACCTATTAGAGAAGCAAGTTCATTGAGGAAGAGAACAAGGTTCGTTAAAGAAATACTGTTTATTCAAATCAAGAAAGTAATCCCAAGAAACAGTCTCAAAAATTAAACCAAACCCACATTTTGTTCGGTTGTAAACTGAGTAAAAGATTAATGATCGTTCAATGGAACAGTTGATCGATATTCTAATAATATGAGTTACAAAAACAAGTTGAAGATCTCGAATCTAAAAACCCATTAACATCATTAATCAAATCCTGGATTATGAAAACCCATAAGCAAAAACTTGAAAAAAAAAAATTAATTGATTATCACTGTAGATCTGAATGAAATAGAGCATCGGAAAATCATATCGGACGATCAAATGGGTATTGAGACAGAAACCCAAGCAAAACCCTTGGAAATCCAAGATCAGTCCTTCCAGATTCTCGATCTTACAAACGATCAACAAAACCCATGAAAGAGAGAACATCGTAAACCCATTCATGTATTTCTAGAAACTAAAGTAAGAAAAACGAGAACCAATAGAAGAGAGAAGCCTAAACGATTGAACTGACGTCTAGAAAACCGATCGAGAAGATGAGAATAAGAAAATCACCTCTTGTTGCTTGTTGGGGAACAATCGGTCTTGAAGCCATCTCTGTTCTTTTCTATCTTCTTCTTCTTTCTTTACCTTCTTCTTCCGATCCTTCTTCTCCTTTCCTCTCGCTTTCTTGCTCTCTACGAGTCTCTGTGGGCTCTGTCTAGGTTATGAAAGAAGAAAAAGAATGCGAGATCAAAAAGAGGGAGGTGGTCTCCTTTTGAAAGCTGCGGAGCGACGTTTCACTCACAACGGTCGAATTTTTTAAAGTTTGTAGTCGTTGGATCTCTTTCGAAACCAACGGTGAAGATCGGCCCAAAAATTTATAGCCGTTAGCGTGAACACCAAGCTGGCGAAAAAAAAGTTACCGTTGACGTAAATATATAAGGTAATAAGCCTATATATACATGTGTGCCACGTTACTTGCCACCATAGGGCATAGGAGATAAGCACATTATCATGTTTTCTTTATATGGTTAATTTTTGAAAATATTTTAAATAATTATTCATTCATCTGCTTGAAACACTCTTGGAAAATTGTAATTATATATTTATATTGTCATATACTGTCATAAGAAAAGTATTAATTTTTTTTCTTGCTATGGAGATATTCTAAACACCAATATTTAAAGTGAACTTACATTTTCTTGCATTTGTATGTTTCTCTCCCATATAAATGCCTTGCTACATTAAAAATTTGAGAGTACTAAGGTAATTGAATTATCATGCGAATCAAAATTAAGCTTGAAAATTTATTTAATTTTGTTTAATTCGTTTAAATGTAATCTAAGTTTATAACATTTTATTAATTCGTTACAGAATTTTAAAAAAAAAATAGATTAATTTAAATAATTATTGAATTATTTACACTTTATTGAAGAATATTCACACTGAAAATCTCTGTAAAGACCCGAAAACTAAAAGAAATATGTTTATTATCTAAATATAGAAGCAAACAATAAAGTAGGAGTTTACATTCCTTACACAGTAAAATTAAAATATCCAATAGAATTACGGAAATGTCTCTTCTGCATTGGTTCATAACGATAATAAAAAATAAATATCACAGGAGTTAACATCCACTAGCACTTGAAGGAAGTTCGGACAGTGAACTACTCACTACTCCTTGTTGATTAGAATCTAGATTTTAATTTTTTTGATCTGAAATGATTAATGAAATGGTGAGGTACACTAGTCCAGTAAGAATATCATTTTAATCACTGATATGAAAAACTGAATGTTGTTAAAAATTACCAAACAACTAATGAAACTCTTCATTTAAGTAAATTCGTTTAACAACAGAGAAAACCGTTTATTTTATACTTACCGTTGCGAATTTTTTAAAATCAACCTATAAAGACAAATATTCAGATGATAATATGATTTCATGTACAAATGAACAAGATTAGCAATTCTCCTTTTTTACCTGTTTACTGGAACCCCTAGGGGTCCATAGAGATATTTCCCTACTTGTAAACCTAATATCTAGATTTGTTGCGGCCGTCTCCATACTCCGTCCGGTAATGGGCGTCAAATTCACCATCGCCTCGATATCTCGTCCAGTATAAAGGTAAACTATGTCTCCCAAACCCTTCCGGAATGGGCCCCCTCAACCCTATCTGTTTGAGACACGTCATGAGAAAGGCTCATAACTCAAAAAATATAGTGAGAAATTCTTACCGTGATTGGTGTTTTGAAAAGCTATACTACCCACTATGCCTCCTGACGGGTCTCGAGTTTCTTAAATCTTCTATGCGGGAATCAAAATACTCGTCACGTACTTAAAAATATCCCAAAAATTCAAAATCAGTATTGAAAATTATTTTAGGCCAATTTTAGGGTTCCAGCACCGGCTCCACCGCCTCGATCTGGCCAGTTTTGACCATATTTTACATGTATCCCTGCAAAAAAAATATGTTAGAAAGCTTCAGTTGGCCAAAAAATCGAAAAAATCGAACTTACTGGTGGGGGAATCTTTAGGTGCGGCGGCTCCGCCGATTCTCCTTCGGTTATCCTGCACAAAAAGGGACGTTGAACATAATGATTAAGGAATCGTGTGAAACAGAAAACGGAAAGGGGTTCATCGGAGAAATTTTAGAATTTTGGTCGCGGCAGCTCTGCTGTGCTTTACCCGTGATTTTTGGCTCACTCGTCATCCATTTTACTTCGATATGGCTTCAGAGAGACTTGGAATCGAATTCCAAGCAGAAAAGAGAAATTTTTGCTTTTTTTGACGGTCGACGGTGGCTCTGGTGTGGCGGCAGCCGAGCCCAGTCTTCTTCTTCGGCATCTGGTTCTTTTTCTTCAGTGAGGGGCTGACAGCTAGGGTTGGGTTCCTTGCGAATAAGAGTTTAAATACTCGCTCCTCTTCGATCCGAGTCATCCGTTTGCATCGACGTGGAGCGAGAAAGACCGTTCGATGGTTTTCCGTTTAGGCTGACGGTGTAGGCTAATCTGAGTCGTCCATCACGATCCATCTCGTCCGTCTGATCGCGTCTAAAGATGGAATACATTTGGGTCATTTACGAGCGCGAGATGAGATCTGAGACGTCAGATCGCTGGCACGCGGGTCGCTCGTGTGGCTTCCCATACGGTGCCAACGTCAACGAGTTGTCACGCAACGTGCTCTGATTCGTCGAGACTGCTAACTAGATCATCCCATGTGGATAGAATTTTTTCTTTTATATTTTAACTCCATGTTTTTAATTTTTTTTAAAAATATATCTCTCAAATTTTAAATTTTAACCAATTTTTTTTAAAATTGCTTTCAATTTCGTCCCCAATTGATTTTCCTCAAAAAATTTAATTAAACAAAATTAATTATTAAAATATTTTTTTTAATAATTAAATGAAGAAAAATCGTCCCGGCCGAATTTTTGAAACCGGGTATTACAATCTCTACTAGGATTTAATTAACCATTTCTAAATATTTAATTTAACCAAGTTTGACAAATAATATGCTCTGCTTCTTTATTAAAATCTGAATATAACACAAATTTTAAATTTTTCAGCATCAAAACCTGAAATTAATAATTCTGGTTTCAAAGTCAGAATAATTTGATACGTAGCAATTCTAAAGTATCTTAAAGAGTAATATTTGAGGGTTCACCATGACTAACAAAATTTAGAATCTTCTGGTCTTCGTTCAAAATTCAGACACTTGATTAATTTTTTATAGAATGAATATTATATTAAATATAAATTAATTTATAATAACACACTTACACTTAAAACTCGTTAAAAACAAATAATTCAAGTGGTAGAAAATAACTCAATTTATTATCTTTACATTGATGCGACCTCCCATGAGTAAATTGCTAAGCTGAAACACATTCTAGCTCGAGTTACCTTTCCTTAAAGTTGACTAAAAAATACAATGCTAATCGCAATCCGAACACAATATCTATCTATTACTCTGATTTTGTGTTAAATGATAGAGTTGTATTTATATATTAACAATCTAAACTCACCATTGATACTCGATTCCGTGGAACATTAGCAAGAAAGAGGCAACAAAATCTCAGAAAAAACCAAGTATGATAAGCAAATCAGCCACAAATGAACAAATCAATTGAACTGGCAAAATCATTACAACTGACAGTTTAGGCAAACTGAAAACCGATGCCTAAAACAATGTCAACGGGGATTAGTTGAAACCCAACTGCACATTCTTCTCAATCATGGTGCAAAACACTCGGCATAAATATCACTCAAAACTATTGAAAACCTAATTAATACTCACACTTGTGGAGTTAGATTTATGATTATGCTTGGTCATCTGGTCCGGCAAGAGTAACCTGTAAAATTCAGAATCATGTATTTTTCAGACCTTCCTTGATGTTAAACAAAACAAAATACCAGAATAGCAGCCAACCATGAGAGCTTTTCTCCATCATGGGTTGGCCAATTGAAGTAAATGTTAAGTAGTATGCCAGTGAAAAAATGAGAGATATACTCACATTGCAGTCGTGAGCGTATTTCCTTGCAAGGATAATTGCTGCATTCCGCTCTTGTTCGGATTCAAATGTTAGTACAAATGAGAGCCCTTTTCTTGGTTGCCAAAACAACGCCTTTGCTGGAGCATTAGCATCACCTCTGAACCCGCAGAGCTATTTTAAATTAAGCCATTAAGTCAGGTATCGCTAGTAAGAAATGCGTGTTGATAGCAGAATCTTCTCCTAAATCATGTAACTTTGAAGAAACAAAAGTTTACAGGAGACTAATATACCACATTCAAGGGATCCAGTAACTAATTTTCAACTTCTCCATTCCATTAAGTTATTCAACAGAGAAGTATACAGCCAGCAAGAAACCTACCTGCATTGAGGTGGAATAAATATCTCGAGCCTTTGTGATCCATCCCCTACAAAGCTTTATCCTCGTCTTTCCAACATTAAATACATGAGTAGAGCGTGATGTATAGTCTTGTCCATTCATCTGAGAAATAACTACCTACCAAAACATAATGCCAAAACTTGATCAGAGCCCAAGTACAGAAAGAATTCTGTGTTGTCAGTTCAAGACTGCTGGACATTTTCAAAGAATCACAAACAAATTCACTCCTCTTCCTTCTCATGCATCTATGTTGTGTCTAAACCACTTTACTGGCTTATTCCGTGGACCATAGTCATCAAATTGACATTTGAGGAGTAAAAAACATTACAAGGCCATGGGACAGTTCACAAATCCTCCATATTTTTTCTGGAATTACCATTTTCTTATCTACTGAATTTTTACATGGTTTTCAGAGTCTTCATTCTGTTGCAGGATTTAAGTGAGTTGAGTCCTCAAACTTGTCATAGACATTTCGAAGACAGGAAATATCCATTATGATTCCATTAACAAGTACAACTCAGAAAAAGGGCAAAGCCATGTATAAGACTATAACTTTCTTGATTAACACAATGCAACACTGGATTCTGTAGAGCAAGTTCACTCTCATTAAGGGAAAGATATGAAACTTTATGAGAACAACCAAAACTCAGTAAGGGAACCTACATTAAATTCACTATTAGATTTTCGCATGAGTGTGTCCACATAGCTCTGCAATCCTGCAGCTGTAGAAGTACATTTATCAGCCCTTCTTTCCAATATGTGCATGCATCAATATATCATATAGGAAGCACAACAGCAGAGGAGTAGCTAAGGAATTTGACAGAGTTCAGGCATTAAACAGGCAGATGGAAAGGACGGAAGGAAACGATGGAAACATTAAGAACATTCTAGAGATCAACAGAGAACATAAAAAAAATATTGAATAACCAACCAGGATCGATGTGACCAGCAGTAGTTACAGTAACTTTGTGGCCATTTGAAAGAATTTGAGCCTGTATAAGGCGTCCAACGTCAAATGGTTCAGGGGCATAAATTGATTTATTGGCGCCTGATATAGAAATTGAACCACATGAGATAAAAGACAATAAAACATAACAAGGACAAGCAGCATAAAGTGTGAGATAAGCTATTTGGTTAAGTCAATAAGAACTGTAATTCTCTTAAACCCATCAAAAATAACAAATTAATCAGTAGAAGAGCAAAAGCATTTTGATTAAATGCCAGAAGTATAAAACTTATGTGGCCATTATAATTAAATGAGTACCTAATATAATTTCCTCTTGACTATCATCAGATGACAAGCGGTACCACTGAATTGAGCATTTAGAAAGATGAGGAGCATTATCCGAGCAAGGAAGGATCCTTAAGCATGATCCTATAGTTTCAGAACCATCAAAAGCATATAACCTGGATTTATTCTCCTCAGCTCTCTTGCTTTTCGCCAGCTGGAAAGAATTAGAACATGGAATAGCATAAGAAAGTAATTAATTGAACAGGGAAATCAGATGCGAGATGATACCGACTACAACATTTCAACAAATGCAAACATCAATCAAATGAAGGGGCAAGAAGCCAGCATAATCCTCATCAGTAAAACCAAATAACCAAGAGCAAATAGTTTGTATAAAAAGCACTTTATAAAAGAAAAAAGAAAATCGAGTATGATCAACATTTTTAACTTTAACATCAGGAGATTATTCTAACTAAGATACAAACTCTAATCAAATATTCTCCACAAACCTCTTTCTGAAGCTTAAATGAAAATATAGATTTCTCTCGAATTTGAATTCGTAGTGCACGAAGCTCAAGTTCCATCTCTATCACCTGCAAAAAATTTGCAATTTCTTGTAATCAACAAAATTTATGATGACCTAGTAATCAGTATCAAAAGATAACAATTACAGGTATCAAAAAAGTAATACATAATGACTAAAGTTCATCATCAGCAAGCAGGTAATAGGCAAGAATAGTGCCATACGCTAGCCCAAAATGAATGACATGAAAAATGGTGAAATGAAGAAAAACAGGATTGAACGTCATGAATGCTAAACTAAGGCCATTCTTCTCTACAAGGGATGCATTGGTATCCCTTGGTGCCTGGGTAATGCCATTTTTGTTTTCCTTTGAAGTGTTATAAGAATTACACCCTTAGATATCTAGGTCAAAACCCCAAAAATACCATGAACGTGTAATTGGTGAAAGTTGTCTCTTTTTGCAGATATTTTCGGAGCTGTTATAATTTTCTGTTGTTTTTTGTTATTTTTGTTTTGTTCATGCAAGATCTTCAGAAGAAAATCAGTTTGATAGATGAATTCAGTGTTAGTTACCCAGATATTTAGGATAAATAATGGAGAAGGCAAGATGCTGGCTATTTGACAAGAAGCTGTGAGAAAAGTTTTGGGCCGAATCATTGAATACCTTGCTCAATAGTCGCCAGCAAAAGCATTTAAAGATAAAACTCCCTTTGAATTGTGGTATGGGTTCAAATTCAGTGCACTACCTTAAAATTCTTTGGCTATATATGCTTCGATCATGTGCCAAAACAGAAGAAATACAAGCTTGATTAAAAGGTTGAGCTTGAATTATACTTTAATATTGGAGCATTTGAAAAGACTATAGGGTTTATTAACCTATGACAAAAAAAGTAATACTTAGTAGAGATATCAAGGTTAATGAACTTTTTTAGTCTGGAATTGGGAGAAAGTAGAAGTGGAGCCTGGACAAAATGCATCAATAGATCCTAAAAGAATTCAGAAGCAAGCGCCAGACATGTTTCGTGACCATGAATATATAGAAGGAACCAGATCTTACTAATGTTTATCAAAGGTGTAAAATTGTGGTACTTCTTTTTTAAAAAAATAAATAAAGTTGTGGCACTTTAGCTTGCATGATATGAAGAGGCAGAAAAGAGCTAGACATGGAGAGATGCTAAGGAAGAGGAGCAAAAGATTATTGAAAAGATATTAGGGTCCTTACTAATGGATCTAGTTTTTGGGATGATGGCCATGGAAAACAGTAGATATTAGGGAATGTTTGAGTTTTTCTTCTTTTAAGCAAATTTATGGACTCATTAAAAGAGAATACAACAATCTCTTGAGTAAGAAAGTACTTAAAATTTGATAAATATTTTTCATGAGTCTGTCCAGAATACAGCAATAGGTTTTATTACAATAAAGGATAGGCAGTTATTCTGGAAGTTATCTAAAGTACCCAGATTTTAAGAACTACCTCCTTGTCTTATTCTTAAACATAGAGACTACCCATACCCAATATATAAAACTGCAGAATATTCTAACATAAAAAAGAAAGTTTAATACCTATACAAACTAATTATTAAGTGCAGAATTTTTCTTTCTTCTTTGATACACCTTACCAGAAGGTGATATTTTCCCACTTGTAGAGTCCGGAACAAAAGAATCAGACGTGGATTTATGCGATTGTTAGATACAAAGACATTTTAATAAAAGATGCTGTCAAACTAAATCAATGATGGGTGATAGTATCTCGAAACTTGCAAGATTGGAAAATTGAGGAAATATGAACATTTGCTCCAAACTCAGTCTCGCATTCACTTAACTGACAGCAATGACAAACTCATCTAGCAACACACCAAATCTGGTAATTTTTTAGTTAAGTCCCAGTATAAGACTCTGATCGGCAATATTCTACAAGAACAGACAAAATTTCCAACTAATATTATTTGGAATTCGGGTGCCACTCCAAGAACTTTCTTTTTTGCATGGGAAGCAGCAAAGGGCCGCATTCTTACACCAAATAATTTAATGAAAATAGGCTTTACAATTGTCAATAGATTTTTTCTCTGCAAAAATAGCAATGAAACGTGTAATCACCTACTACTGCGATGTCCAGTCTCTCACAGCCTTTGGTCTACTATTCTTGGCCTCATGAGACTATATTGGGTCAAATATAAATCAATTTTGGAAGAGCTACTTGCATGGGAAGGATTGAACTGTCACAAGAAAACTTTTAGACTCGTCTCTCTCACTATATTTTGGGTCATTTGGAAGAAAAAAAACAATAATGTTTTCGAATGAAAAGAAATCGACTTCAAAATCATCACTGACAATTGGTTCCATTATTTCGGGTCCACTATTTTACTATATAACATCAAATGCTTTGATGATCTCGACTCTATAATCAATTATTTAATCAATTTGTAATTTTTTTGTTAATGGGCAATGCCCCTTTAGCACCTTTACTTCAATACAACTTCGTACTTTTATTTGAAAAAATGGATTTGGTTGATAAACCAAGTTGCAAGAATGCTATTGAAGTGAAGTGGATGTTTAGAGCCAAATTGAACATTGATGTTCTATCGATAAACTCAAAACAAGGCTGGTAGCTGAATGCTTTGCACAATAGTATGGTGTTGATTTTCAGATCCTTTTGCTTTAATAACAAGACTAAAACAGAGGCTGATAGCTGAAGGCTTTCCATGGTAGTATGGTGTTGATTTTCAGATACTTTTGCACAAATGGCAAGAGTTAACACCATAAATCTGTTGCTAGCTTTAGTAGCTCAAGAGTAGTGGAAAATTTTTCAACATGATGTCAAGTTGCAAATTTTAAGGGTTATAAAGAAGAGGAAATCTATGTTAAGCAAGCTGAAAGCTTTGTAATAAAATAAAATGAAGACAAGGTGTACTTACTAAGAAGAGTACGTACAGCCTGAACACGCTCCTAGAGCCCACTACACGAAAATTGATAACCCTCTCACAACTTGGATTCGAAAAGAGTTCAAGTAAATTAGATCTTTATGTGACAATTACAAACAACAATGATTTGCCTGCTATTTGTTTATATGTTGGTGACTTGCCTTGGCATAAAGAATAGTTTGAAATTTAACTAAACAATCCAAAGGTCCATAATGTGGACTTATGAGAGAAATGCCTATTTCCTTGGCATGGAGATTTTAAAATCTCAAGAAAGCATTTTCGTTGCACAAGAAAAATAAGAAAAAGTTCAACTTAGAGAATTGCAAACTTGTAAGCACTTTTTTTTTTTAAGGAATAAAGGCTTGTCGTGGAGATTATAAAATCTTAAGAAAGCAATTTCATTGAGCAAGAAAAAGTTCAACATGGAGAGTTGCAAATTTGTAGGCACCATTTGTGGCTACTCCAACTATAAAAAACTAGCACCATGGAATGTTCATTTCACCAAATTTATAATAGTTCTCTAGGACAAACCCAATTTGGTTGTTGCAGCCCCACCAACATACTGATGAGCTAAGCCTACTAGACCAACCACTACAAACCAGTCACCAACTCGTAATACACCCACAAAGTGACAAATTCTTTTTTTAAAATAAAAAGTGGCAAACTCTATATTTTCAGCGATGTTCAAATTTGTTACTTTTAAATGAAGCACTAAACATTCTAATACTAAACTACCGTGGTACCAGTCAAACTTGCAAGCACTGCATGATTAGCTAAGCAAAGAAGATTGCATTGAAACAATTGATGCAAGCGGAAAGAAGTCTTATAGACTGCCCAGTGTATTTGCAATAAGGCTTGATATTATGCACCTTCTGAGTTTCCTCCCTAGGTTTATGCATTGAGCAAGTGAAGTTCATTTCAGGTCACTAAAAGAGTACTTAGATGTGCTGAAAGCACTATAAGTTGTGGAGTCTGGTCCCAAAAATCTGAAAAGTTGAGGTTGCTTGGATTTGCAGATAGCAAGGGCAAGATCCTATAATATATGAAGAGCAGCTTGGTTACTCACTTAGCCATGGTTCACGAATTCTCTCATTCAGCTCAAAAAAGCAAGAAGTTATTGATCACATTGTTGCTACTACTTCTGTTAATCAAGCTATTGGTCAAGAAACTATTGAGAAGATTTAGATTTTATTCGAATCAAGCTGCAATTGCAATTTCAAATTGTCTTATTTCTCATGACAAGAATAAGCATGTCAGAACAAAATATTAGTTTCTTAGAGAAGTTCAGAAGAACAAGGTCATTCCTGTGCATAGAAGAATTGATGAAAAATTAGTAGACATCCTGAGGCCCTAGCAAAGTCAAGGTTTGAGCAATTGAAGTGAGACATAGGTTTTTGCGGCATAAGAGAGGAGTCTTGAGGAGTCTTCAAAATTCCCTTTTTTGCTTATATTTATAAATTATGAACGTGGAGTCTGGTTGTAAAAACCTGAAAAGTTTGAAGTTGCTTGGATTTGCAGATAGTGAGGGCAAATAAATAACAGCAAAAGAATTCTATCCAACAATTAGAAAGCTCCATCTAACGTTATTCCTATCAAACTGCAACCCTTTCCTATAGAGATTATTAGCCTTTGTTTTCTACTTGAAAATATTTTCATTTCTTTCCGTTTTCTAACATAATATATGTTTTGTGTACGTTAGTATATGTACATATTACCACTCTAGACTAAAAAAATTATAAAAAATACTAAAAGTAACTTTTCAGTATTTTGAAACCTATCCATACTATTGCTTTCATTTTTTGTAGATTATCTCATTTTCGACTATCACGCATGTTTTTATAGACAAATATTTAGGAGCATAGAAAATGAAAATTAGAAAATGTTCTATATACCAAATGCAGTAAATGTGTATTTTTTTTTGTTCAGATGAAAGGGTGCATCTAACCTTACTTGGCTGATGCGACCGTTTAATTCTTCTAGCCTCCTGAACCTCCTCTACTAGTTCCTCCACGTCCTGTGACATGTAACATTAAATAGTGCATGAATTAACCTCATGCCAAATGAAAATAAGGAAAAAGAATGCAAAAATCCCTAATAAATATGCATCTCCATGCTTTTGCCAATTTAAGTGGTTACTGACCACATAAGATGAAAAAGTAAAATGTATTTAATTATATGGAAAATATAGCCTAAGTTCTCGTCCAATAAGTATAATTTTTTGCCAAATTGTTGTCCCATAGATATATTATTGAGCATATGTGTTAAAAGGAGTAGCTTTTCAATAAACCTCATGTACACCCCTTCCATATAAAGTGCGAGCCTACAGAAGAAAATCCTATTCAGTTTCATTTTTTTAGGACCCACCATATACTCTTTCCTTGGACCAACATGAATGTAAGAGAAGTCTATACACTCAAGGAGTCGGGGCTTCTTGAGTTAGGATATGCATATCACAAAGAATCAAGAGAACACAAGACAAATAAAGAATGGCCATCAAAATTTTCAGTAAAGAAACTGTTTGGGGTGCATTGAAAAACTTTCCCTGTTTAAAGGAATGGCCATGGATATTTAGTGTAGCAATTAATAACTAGAGGATAAAGCTTCTGGGCATAATAAACTGGGCAATATATGTATTAAACTATTAATAGACCTTGAAAAGAAAACATTAACTTAAAAGTTAAACCAGCCCTAGAGACCTGTGTTTTAGAATTTTCCGAAGTCCTTTCTTGCTCATCAAGGGCCTCTCCAAATCTCTGTACAACTGCCCTGGCACTTTCTATTTCAGCACAAGCAAAAGACTTTTCCTGGTTTACCAACTTTTTAGCATCTTCAGAAGCCTATAGAGATAATGATACATAATTCAGAAAAAAATAGAAAATAGCAATTTACAAGAAAGTAACACCAAGAAAAAAAGAACTGTGAATGGAAGAAATAGCAAATTGTTGAAAAATAAAATCTAGAACGCGAAAATCAAGATAAAATTTTGTATCACAAAAAGCTACCAGAACAAAAAATCACCAAAAGCACATGCAGTGCACGTAAAGACTGAGTAATGGCAAGGACCATTTTTCTTTGTTCACTAATAGTAAGATCAAAAGTTTAAATGAAACTCCAGTCGCTCACTGAGAAAAGCCTCTATATATCATACATTCCAACAGCACTGTACAGTTGCCTCCACAGTAAATGCCAAAGATGCAAAAGACACACTGGTTTTGCTCAGAACATCCAAACGAAATGTTTCATTTGTATGTAATATGAAATTAATCTACAAAATGGAATCCATGTTTGCCCATTAAAGATTTTATATCCACACATTCCATGTTATGAAATCTACTATCAGACCCTAATATCAGCCATTACAAATTTTAGGCAGAAAAGAGGTATTTGAAATTCATGTAACCGGTAGCTGTCATTATGTCAAACATCAATGTGCATTAAAAGCACAAATTTAAATGATAATATCAAATGAAAAAGAAAACTGAAATGACCTGTTTGAGAAAGTTTGCTAGTTTTTTCACTTCAAACTTTTCTTGAATCAGTTCCCCTTCTTTCTGAGTCAACTTAACTGCAAGAGCCTCAACCTGCGGGAGAAGGTCACAGCCAACAAATTTAGAACCATATTGCACCTTGTATTGCAAATATATTCAGAATCATATTCATATGAATTTGCTTTTGTCAGTGTGTGATGTCTTATGCAAGTGAATAACAAAAGTTAATGTCAAACATGGAATCAATCACACACCACATAATAACAAAGTTAATGTGGTTCAGCCGAAAAATACATTCTAGACCTTCCCAAGTTGTTTGCTTCTCATTTAACAAGATTATACAGTTCCTCGATTTGAAGTGTTCCAGAAAATATGGGGTCTCTATTCACTACAAAAACAGCCATGTAATGTTTCACAAGGACTCTCAACAAAAAAAAATATTTCTTATATTTCCTAGAATGCAATAACACTAGATTTTAATAACTAGTTTTTTAACATGCTGCAAGATGTTGTCTTTGGTTTGTATACTGGTAGAAAAAAGACAAACATATGACTGACCACTGACTAAAACTACAAAAGAAAAATAATTAAATAAGTGAAATCATATTTCTGATAGATGAAAATAAAAGCCCTTGATTTCTGATGAAGGTTTCAAACATACAGCAGGTGGAACTAATATTACAAAGCGTCCAAAAAAAATAACTAACCATAGAGATGGCTTTCTCGACATCTTCCTTGTTTCTTCCTGTCATACGGCCTCTCAGTGATTCTAATGCATCTCTAAGCTTCTTCAACAAAACATGTCCTTCCAAAGAAGCAACCTCTCTTAGCTTTGCCTGAATTCCAAACAAGATGAGAAAAAAATTAAGTTATCGATCAGATTTACTACCCTTTCCGGACTCAAGAATTAAAAACAAAACAGCGCAGGAGATTGAATAGACAAAATCTGACATGGATGAACCTATGCAAAAAGGCATTACATATAGCCTCTGAATTAGAAATAAAAAACCCTCTATGCGGTGGAGAGAAAATCAATTCTTTTCAGAAATCTCTATGGAAAGAACTCAGCACAACACAGTTTATCACCTTCATTCGTCCATCTCATACTTTTCACAGATGGAGAGAAGGAGAGTTAAAGGGACAAAAAAAGAAGGAAGCATTGAAACTGTATAGAAAGGTATGCAGGCTATTGATTCAAATATCAAGACCGAGGAGGGCATTGAGCAGTGGAAAAAGAATTCTTGGAGCTTCAATGTACATGCAGAAACAAAGACTATAAAATACAAATCATTTGAGAAAATATCTAAAACTATTGAAAAACCTCATCAGCCAACTTAGCAGCTGCAGCCAAGTTCTTGTCAAATTTACTGGCAAGGTCACGAACTGAAAGCCGCTTGTGCTGCTCTGACAGTTGCATTGTTTCCCTTTCAACAACTTCCTTCAAGGATGGGCCCCTGTCATCCTCCTTTGGTACCTCCACTATCTGATTATCAGGTCCTAATTTATACTTGGGAAAACAATTAGAAGAGAAGCTCACATCTGCTGAAACTGCCAGCACTGGTTCAATCTGCATCATTTCTTCAACCTCAGGACTAATCTTCGTCATTTTCTGCTAAAAAAGAAACATAAAAAAACTTTAAGATTGGACCTCTGTTGATATTATTAAACATCAAATCTTCTTAACAATTCAGGACATAATCTTGTCATAGAAAAATTTGCACATGTTCCAATATCAATAGAATGCTGAGGATAAGCAACAGAAAGGCCTTGGCAAACCATCAACAACGGAAGAATACAAACTCAACAATAGAAAGAAGACATCACTCATAATCAACCGAGGGATCAAGAGAAAGTCGGAACTATCTCTAAAATGGTATATTTATTTCAAAAAAAAAAATCTCTGAAATGGTATTTCAGTTCATTTTTTTGTCAACTAAATCGTGCAACTTAGGATCAAACACAGTACAAGGATCTGTAACAGCTCATCTGTTGGACAACTTTACCTATCACCAATATTTTTGGGTTAGAATCTAAAGTACAGAAATCCAAGTACTCATGAGTCTGCAAAACTTGCTATCCAGATATATCCTGCAAGAGTCTCCAACTGCTTCTGGCAGCTCCAAACATTAAAGAGGAAAAAAAATAAAGAGAGGTTACTTTTAAGCTTCATAATAGGAAACTAGTTCTGATCAAATCTGCATTTTACCGTAGACCAAGAAAGAAAGCAAGAGTTTTATAGACCACACTGAGAGATCAATAAAAGATTTCAATGAAACTGTGAATTGATTAGCTAAATGCATTTCCATTTTAAGTAATCAGAGGTAATTTCCACCACCTCCACCAACTATCAGCTCTTACTTCACAAAATGTTGTTAGCACATCCCAACTCGTTACTTAAATCTCTCCATTAACGACCCCACATCAACAATTTTGTCACACAAAATTTCTTCATTTCATAAGGTAGAGCATACAGCATAAATTTCATCACATAAAATTCATATACACATTAAAAACCCAACTTCTTAAAATCACCGCAAAAAAAAAAAAAAAACCAATCGAAAATCAAGCAGCTGGATTTGCTAGCAGAAAATAATAGAAAATGTCCTAAATTCAACATTCTGAAGTCTTAAAACTTGCATGGGAAAATCAAAGCAAAGAAAATCCAAATAAGCAGAAAAGGGAAAGTTGCCAAACAATGTGCGAGAAAACAAAGCAGCACTCACAGATTACACCACAATGTGCTTTGAGCAGACTCCAAAACAAGAAAGTAAAACAAATGTGGAAACAGCAGTATATGTGTTTCTGGATTCCCCCAGTTGTTGACTGCAAGGTGCAGGCGAACAAAGAGCACCACGAGAGAGAGAGAGAGAGAGGAGACTAGAATTGCGAAGAGAAAAAATAATGTAAGCAGAAGAAGAAGAATATAACAGATGGTCTATGGAAGGATGCTTTTTGAAAAGCAAGACAGAGAGAGCGAGAGAGAGAGAGAGAGAAAAAAAAAAGAAAAGGAGGGGAGAAAAAAGAAAAGGTTCTGTGCCTGACTTCTCTGTCTCCTCTCTCAACAACTGGTTTTCATGTTTACTCTTTTTTTTTTTTTTCTTCTTCTTTCACATCATCGTTGTAATTTCTGCTAGGAGTGTCTACTCCCCATTTGTATTTAACGATTCTCCCATATATTCCCCACGCGCTTCTCCACTCCCCTTCTCTGTCGTGCACCACACGCCCGTAAGGATAAAATACATACATACCTCTCTTTTTTTTTTTAAATCATTTTTGTGTTTTTTAAAATTAAAAATATTTTATCTACAATTTATATAAATAAGTAGAGATAAAAATAAAAATAAATAAATAAATAAATAAATTTTTAATTATTAATAATTTTGTAAAAAAATATTAATTAATTTTTTTTTTTATAAACTTCGCCTAATAATATATATTAATCAACTTAACTATATGTTATAATTTTTTATTAAAATTTTATTTAAATATGTATTTTATATTTTTTATATTAATTTATTATATTTAAAATCTTTAATTATATATAAATATTGAAATCAGAATAATTAAAATAAGATTGAAATTTTATTTAAATATGTATTTTATATTTTTTATATTAATTTATTATACTTAAAATCTTTAAATAATTAAAATAAGGTATTTATAATTAACAAAATTTAAAGTAAATAAAAAACAGACGGAGACAGGTGGGGCCTAGGTTTCGACGCAACGAAGCGAGAAAGCCTAGTCAAAAGCGGCGCGTAGGGTGTGCGTGTGGGACTGGATTTTCAAAGCCTGGATGATTGGCGGGGGCGTGTTTGGTTGTAGGGTCTCCATCTCATTACCTTCTATGGGGCGTCCTTCTCTATAATGAATTAAATCCTTTAATTACATCATTTTTTTTTTTAAGAATGAAATTATTTTTATATTATAAAAAAAAATTCGTAACGATTAAAATTTAAAAATTATAAGAATTAAAATAATATAATTTTACATTTAATTTTTTTATATTAAAAATAATAACATTAAAATGTAGAAGTTTATGTGTGTTTGGAGATATTAATTTATAATATAAGCACTTATTTTATTTTAAGTAAAATTTTAATATTAAATAAAAATAAAATATGACAAAAATAAGCAAATAAAGAATTATGGGCCCAAAGTCACATGCAAAAAATGTACAATAGAGTTTTTGCATGGAGACTTGGTGCTTAAAGTGGAAACACACTCAAAAGAGAAGTCAATATCTCATATTATTTTTTATGTTTTTTAGTTACAGATTATATGAATAATTTCTCCAAAAATTTTAATTTATATATTAGAAAAATAAAATTTAGTAAAAATATTATCGAATTTTAACTTTTTATGTTAAAACAATAATTTGTGTACATAATATTAAATGTGTAATAGTCTAGATCGGTGAGGGAGAATGAGATGGACAGTTAGGATGCAATGGGTGGAATCAACGGTTGGGATGTGAGTTTGGGATGGGTATAAAAAGGGGGCATCGGGCGGAGAGGGAAGGAGGAAAAGAAAGAAAATAAAGGGAAAATCAGAGAGTGTGGGAGTGAGAGCGGGAGACAATTGTGAGAAAGACAGTAATCATAGGCAAGTGCGGAAGAATAACTGTTTATAAATTCGGGAATGAGGTGATGTTGCAGTAACTTTGTGAGACATAGGAGAATGGAAGCAAAAGGTAATAAAAATTTGGAAATTCTAAACTAATTTAGGGCAAACTTGGTTAGATTGTGTGTATAGGTTCATGAAGATGCTCCTCGTCAAGGAGATGGAAGTCGATGCGCAGTGTTAGCTGATGAAGTAAAAGAGGGGTCAAGGTTTGAGAAAAAAAAAGGGAGTAAGCGGTAGAGAGGGGTGTACGTGTGAGCAGTCGGTTGTGTGAGGGAGAGGAGTGAACGAAAGATATAGTGAGGATAGGAACGGAGCTTATGGATGATGAGTTGTGTGTAACTGAGGGATGAGGTCACTGTGAGAGTGTGATGCATTGTTGTATAGATATAAGTACAAGTGACGGTGATCGGTGGCGAGTGTAGGTACAATTATGTGTGTGTAGGGCTACTTGCCGATAATGACTCTTACTGTTGTGCATGGATAGTGGTTTGTGGGCTGTATGTATGAAGTTGTAGGTCGAGTGGGATTTACATGATACAGTGAGTAGGTTGGGTACTTTATGGTGTGTGTATGTATAGGTACTTAAGTTAGGTGTGGGAGGCCTATTGGTCGATGTTGGGGGATTCTGGTATATTTGTGTGGAAATCAGTGGCACGCTGTGTGTGCGTGTGTGTGAGTTGTGTGTGTGCAAAGCGTTTGGCCGATGCTTGCAAATATGATGTGTCGATATGATGCATAGTGACATGTTGTATGTATGGCCACTCAGTGGTCGATTGGGCATTCCTCTAGTCAGATGTTTGGGAGGTTGTGTGGCCGACGTTGGTGGAGTTCAGTAGGGCCATTCAATGGTCATAATCTCAGGAATAACGGTGTGTATTTGATGTTGTTGTGCGGTAGTGCACGGAGCTATATAACAACCAATACGAAAATTGTGTTTCCTGTTGGGGCGGGGCCCTGGGATGCAACGAGAGTGTGCATGCGTGGTCTTGGTTGACCGATGCGTGATGAGAGGTATGACAAGGATGAGGTTGATTGAGATAGCGTATGGTTGTGGCATAAGGACTATTGGAATGGTGTCGAGTTAGTAAGGTGCTGTGGTTAAAACAAAAGAGGTAGAGTGCAGGTCCGTTATGTGATTGAGAGAATAAGGGGCTAACATTAAGGGGTTATGTAAGTTTATAAGGGATTAGTGTCGTTATTTAATAGTTATCAAATAAGAAAAACACAATGACATAAATAAATGAAATGATAATAAGGAGAGAAGTCATTTAATTGTCATCCATTAGTTTAGTTTCAAAATTTAATCTTAGTGGGTTATGCATACTCATTACTCTCATTTCATATGCTTTTAGACATAAACCGAAAATAGAGAACTTGGCAACGGAACACTAGACTTAAAAATAACAAGATGTTATCAATCATAATGAGACATAGTAATACATTTACAGTATTGAAATAGCGTTAAAACTTTTATGTGTGTAGTGATAGTTGAATAGTTTATTTAATTATAAAATTATTCATTGTACGATAATTGATTTATCTGTTGAATTAATAGATATGAGTGATTTGGTTGAAAAATTATAAATATTTTATTTGACGTGAAAAAAATAAATAATGTATTATCTTATAATAAAAATAGTTTTTGGTTGTCACAAAATGAATATTATATAAATTAATGTAACATAATCAAATTTTTATTTCTAATATATTATTAATAATATTCCACGTCATTCCAAATCAAATTTCACCAATTTTTTATTAATTATATATGTGTAAGTAGGTTAATTATTCTATAGAGTCGTTGTAATTCTCAGCTACCGTTGTTAAAATCAACAGGACACAAAGTCTGTTTAACCCATCAACAACCTTTTTATTAAACAAAATGAAATAATCATAATGTTTCTTAATTTTATTTACTTTTCACTTATTAATCATGATTTAAACTTAATTATGTTGTTAATGAACTGCGTATTTACAGTTGGAAATTAGGTGATGTATATTGCCGGGACAGATATTATAATTATTAAATATAATTATAATATATAATGAGCAAAAAAGGAAGAACAGGGGAAAGATATTGAGTCGAGTGACAGAGCGTGAGGATCAACGTAGAACTTTAGAAAGTAAAAAATAAAAAAAAAAGAAAAATATCTGTCGAGGACATGCGCGTGGCGCGGGGCGCGTGGGATAGTTGGGAGAGAATTAAACTATAACTAACGGCAATTAGTTAAAAAGAACGGAATTGATTAAAGTTTAAGAAAAGTGTTTAATTAAGTAATTAATTAAGTAATTAGAAAGGAAGAGTGGGGTTGGTGGAATTGGAGAAGAGCCTAATTGTCTCTAATCATTAATGCTCCTTAACCAGTACACTAAAGCTCCAGCAAACCCATGATTAGCGCTCACCCACCACCTCTGTCTTCCCCGGGTCGGGTCGGGTCGGGTCGGGCGATACATGTATAAATCGTAATTATATATAAAAATCGTAATAATACATGTGAATCTTGCTTTAGGCGAAAGCAAGATTCACGCAGTATATTTTGTACGCCATACGCATTTCATCAATACATACATACATCGGTTTATTATATCTATGACAATTATTAAATGTCTTTTTAATTATAACGTAACATATATTTTATTATTACACCAAGTAAAAGTGAAATCTCTAATCTTTAGCAGTAAAAATTAAAATTTTAATTATATTAAATATTACGGGAGTGAATACTAACTCGAACAAACAATTAAAAGTTGAAGTGACATAAAACAAGTAATTAAGTTTGTAAATGTAAAATTAACTGGTTTGGATTGAACTTGAAATGTCTCGAAACTAAAAATAGACGGCCCAAAATTCGTTTGATGAATTTCGTTGGGTTCAAGAGGTTAGTGGTGGGTGGGTCCAAAATGAAATCTCTGATTGATCATAAATGGGCCAGTGTCATTGGATGGTTTTAGCCCACCTAAGGTGACGTGTCTTCAACATGAGCGCCGAGGTAGGTGACCCCGTAATCTATCGTAATCCACCGTGTATACGGCCGGTAAAAATATGTAATTAATTAATAACATAAGGCTCGGAATAGTTCTTAGGGTTCGATAATATTACTTCAATTCGGAGTTCTTAGTTACTTTAACTAGATAAAAATTAACAATGAAATAATAAAGTCATAATTAATTAGATAATTATATCATTAGCCATTTCGTTATTTTGTTACGAAAAATTTATCATTAATCTCACTATTATTGCTCGTATTTTATTTTATTATATGTATAATTTATTATAAAATAATTAAATTTGATTAATAAATATTTAATATTTTATATTTATAATATTATATATTTGTTATTTAATATTATTTTAAATTATATTTATTTTAATTATAATTTATTTAAAGCATTTGACAAAATTTTTAAAAATTAAATAAATAACTAATTATAATAAAATTTTAAATGTGGACCAAATAAAAAATTATATTTTTATTAACAAGACGCCTACAAAAACTTTACTTATTTATCTTTAGTCATATTACATACAATATAATTACGCTTATTAACGGGGTCCATGACCCAAATTAGTCTAACTCTTGAAAATCGATTTTTAATTTTCAGAATTTTACTATGGAGCCTAAATATGAAATTATATATTATTTTTTTTTATTTTCCAGCTTTATTATGGTTAAAATAAAGTAATATTAAATAATTTATAGTGTTAATAATATGCTTAGAATATATATTTTTACCCAAAAACCAATAATTATTCTAAATTATGAGGAATAATTAAAATGGAATTAATTTTTTAAAAATATAATTAGTTGTAAGATAAGTATTTAAATCAACATAATTATATATATATTTTTTTTAAATGAAGACATTAAAATGATTGAACCAATAGCATATGCTTTTGGTAATTTATTTATGATGGACCACAAAAACCTATCTTTACAAAATTCGATAAATTATATAATATTTTAAAGTAGAGCAGTTGAGACAAACGTAAGATGCTTAAACCACAACGTTAAGCAAGCATTATATAAAAATTTTGGATTTTAGATCTGATCTCACTCACAATCGTTAACAATAGGGTGTGGTTAATATTTTACCATAGTTAAATTATAGTTAATTATCAAGCTTATTTAATTGCATTAATTAATTAATTAATTAATTTTAAAATTATAATATTTTTACTCGACTCTCAAGTCCCCCGTAAATCATTTATTAATATTACGAAATACAATTCATGTATGTAGTTTTAGATTTTTTTTGTAATATATGCATTAAAATTTTAGTGTATAAGAATTACAATTTTATTATATGGTTTTTGTTTCAAATTTTTATGTATTGTTATATTTCGTTAGCACAATCAATTGACTTTTTTGAACTTTTTGAAAAAGTTTTGTGAACCAAATTAATTTTAATTATATACGTATATTATACGATCTAATTGTAATAACATAATATAATTTACGAGATTAAATTAATAATTGACACTAAATTTTGTATTCAATAAACGTTAAAAAAAAAAAAAAAAAAAAGGTATAGTCTTAGGCAGTAGCGAATCACATGTCACCAACGCCAATCTCACGTGCTCTGCTGCAAATTCTTACGACCACCTCTGTCTTCTTCTTTTTTCCCAAATTGCTAGTCCCACGCTCCTAGAAGCGAGTGGTGACGGAAACAGTGGGGATTGGCCGTGGGGTGTATTTCACGTGACACCTAGTTGGATGAGAACATACTGGTTAGAGATGATGACGTGTACTGGATCCCCAGGCGTAACTAATTAAGATATTCCGTTGGTCACAGGTTAACAAATCTTCCTGTAAAGAAAATGGTGGCGTAATCAATTTACAGTTCTACCCTTATCTTCAAATTTTAGCATTTTTTTTTATAAATTTGAATTTTATTGATGTACGTAAATATTTCCTATATAAAAAGCATAATTTAATTATTTAATTAATATAAATGAATATTTTAATCAATTTTAAAAATTAAGTAAAATGCGACTCTATTCTTGTACAGTGAAAATAAAAAAATTCGTCATCTGCACCGTCTCTGGTCAAAGACAGGGGACAGTCCTGTCACTTAAACGAAGGGTATATTTGTCCATAAATTTCAAACCAATTTAAAAATCAAATCCCTCGCTAATCACACACTGTATAGAAGCCCATCTTTACCGTCCATATTACCCATCCAACGGCATCCAACGGTGAACATCTAAAATGGAGGGAACCAACGCAGACCGTCCCATCTCACCCTTTCACTATCCTCACTCTCACCCTGCATATATAATCCACTCTTTAGGACACATTTCCTCACCCAAAAAAATCTCATTTCTTCACTCTACTGCTCCGCTCCTCGATAGTAGATTTTCGAAGCAGTCCTAGATCTACGAGAGGTTAGTTTCTGTTCTCAAAATTTTTCACGCTAGATCTCGAATTTTGAACTGCTACATTATCGTTTACTATCAATTCACTTCATATATCTTTAACTGTCTGGTGCATCTCGTGGATCTCTGCATTGTGAAGTTCATGCTTCCTTTATGTATGATTTAGCTTATGTTTATCTGGATTTGGTCTTTATGTTGTTTATTTTCTTGTTAAATTTCTTATTTTTTGCATGTACTTCAGTTATTGGATTAATGAATTCGAGAAGATTGAACAGTATTATTGGATTTGTGGAGTTCGATGTTACTTTTCCTGATTCAACTGAGTTTTGTTTGCTCCCTGCGAAAAATTTCCAGATCTATTTGAGGTTTAGCCATTTTCTGTCTTTTTGTTCTGTACGTAGGAATTGTATGTCAATTTTTGTCTTGGTGCTCGGCGCTTCTGGCAGTGTCTTGAATAGTTTGAATTTTAATGATCTGCAACTTCACGTAGGCTAGAGAGTGTTCATAATTTGTAGAGGTGTCCCGATTCAAGTAGATTTCGCACTGTTTTGCATTATTATGTTTCTTTTTTGTCTTGTGAAGTAGGATAAACAGATTTAACACATTAATTGTGCTTGTCTTGCCATGATTTAGACTAATTCTGTATGCTATATTTAGATTTAATGTTTTGGTTGGCAGTTATTTGCTTTTTGCTTCGAGATCAACTTGATTTCTTAGTACAGCTAGATAAATATAGTATATTCACAATTCCTTCTTGACGCAATTAAAGTTGATCTATGGAATGCAAGTATTTTTACTTTTAAATTCAACAGTATCACCCTTGATATTAAATTCTCTGTGTAATTATTTTGGTTGAATTTTGAACAATGCCTTTAAACTTTCTGCACTTACAATTCAGGTAAAAATGAGAGAGATCCTTCATGTTCAAGGTGGACAGTGTGGTAACCAGATTGGCTCTAAGTTCTGGGAAGTTGTCTGTGATGAACATGGCATCGATCCAACAGGAAGTTATGTTGGCTCTTCAGATCTTCAGCTGGAGAGAGTCAACGTATACTATAACGAGGCTTCTTGTGGAAGGTTTGTTCCTCGAGCAGTACTTATGGACTTGGAACCAGGCACCATGGATAGTGTCCGCTCTGGTCCATACGGACAGATTTTCAGGCCTGATAACTTTGTTTTTGGGCAATCTGGTGCTGGAAACAACTGGGCAAAGGGGCATTACACTGAAGGGGCAGAGCTTATTGATGCAGTGCTTGATGTTGTCAGAAAGGAGGCTGAGAATTGTGACTGTCTTCAAGGTATATGATTCACTTTGTGGAGTGTCGTTATTTGGAATATGAAGTGAGAATATTACTGTTATGTTTTCTCTAGCTATATTATATACCTGTTAATGCCTTGTTATTTGTCTTAGTAACAGCTATGACAGAAATATTGAATTGGTTTTTGATATTTTGTTAATTTTAATGGGTGATTCATGCCAAAATGTTATCCATCACTGCAGGTTTTCAGGTGTGTCACTCACTGGGTGGAGGAACTGGTTCTGGAATGGGTACTTTGCTTATCTCAAAAATCAGGGAGGAGTACCCTGATAGGATGATGCTTACCTTCTCTGTATTTCCATCACCAAAGGTCTCTGATACAGTTGTTGAGCCATATAATGCTACCCTTTCTGTGCACCAGCTTGTTGAGAATGCAGATGAGTGCATGGTCTTGGATAATGAGGCATTATATGATATCTGCTTCAGGACTCTTAAACTGACCACCCCGAGCTGTAAGTTAACATGAAAAAGTCCTTGATATGTTTCTTCTGATTATTTTCCCTGCAAGTTCAATGTGCCAGCTGCTGTTGCATCTTTGTGGTTCTATGCATGGGGTCCATGCCCTTTGTGGTTTGAACTGACATAATTAATCTTTTTTGAGAGAAATTTAGCTAGATTGACGTAATCATTAGTGGGACTTTTAACCTGTACTTTACTTTTAGAATTATCATGGTCTTTTTCTTTTAGCAAGATTTCTTGACCGGTACTTTGTATGCTATAAATTTTATTAGTTGAAAGTTCTGTGATGCAATAAACCCTACCTGACAAGGTAAATTTTCTGCATAAATTTGACTATTAATTTCAAATTTTTAATCCACTTGCAAGAAATGTAAATTTCCTTTTGAATTTGGTTTTTACCGTGCAAAGATATTTAGGTTTACTGATATTTTTGTTTCTTTCCTACTCTTTTATCATGATATTTAGTCTCTGGTTATTTACTCTATGCCCCAAATGAGGCTGACTCAGTTATATTCT